TGCTTCTCTTGTATGTCTCAGAGCGCAGCCTCAGCCCTTCCTCTCGCCCTGTCCCCCCCGCCTTCCCCACCCGCGCAGCCCGAGGAGAGAGTCGGCCACCCACCGTCCTCACACGGCCCCATCCTGGCAACCTCAATGCTCCTCTTCTGCTGGCAGGAGGCCACCCGCAGTTCGCACTGGTTGTCGTAGGTGAGGCCATCGCTACCGCACACCTGAGCGAAAGGCTGCCTCTCGCACTGCGGGCACACGCACTGCCCGCCCACGCACTTGCTGCCGAAGGAGCACACCGTGCTGCCGCAGGGCTCTGCGAGGGGAGAGAGGAACCGCCGTGAGACGTCGCGGGGGCCTTCGCAGCCAACTGCCCAGCGTCACAGAGCTGGGCACCCCTAATGCCATGCCCTCAGAGGCAAGGAGAGAAGTCCTCCTTCCCCAGAGCGCTTCGTTCTTGCTCATTTAAACCGTGCAAAGACTCTGCGACAGCCAGGTGATAGCCCGGAGCGTTTCTGATTCCCATCAGCACCCACAGGTGTTGTGCCCAACCGCTTTTTCTAGGACACCGGCAAGAAATTCCATTTACTCTCATGGTGACTTCAGCCTCCTCCTGCTCGCAGTCCCCACAGAGCACCGAGAGCCATCTGTCACACTCGGTCGCTCTTCTCTCCCAAATGTAGAGAGCATCTCCATGCACAGTTCAGCCTTGGAACACAGGCCCAGCTGGACAGGTTTTATGAGGCTCAAAGCATTGCTTTTACCGTAGTAGCATTTGTCCTAATGAAAAACCTAGGCAGGGCTTTTAATTCATTAATTCATTAAGAAATTACCACAAGACAGTTTCCTGCGCTGGGGAGTGGGGAGGAAACACATGAGCAAAGATGAATTAACCCCAGGAGATGGAGGGAAGGGAAAGCTACTGAGATGAACTGTGTGATCAAATAGACCCTCGATGCTTTCAGTCCTGGTGGTAGCTATAAACATGTCTTTAGCCTAATTTCTTTGCTTGGCTCAATGGACATTAGCCCAATTTCTTTGCTTGGCTCAGACGAGTAACAACGAGGGCAGGTACCACCTACGATGCGTAGCTGGGGCTAAAAAGGGGAAGCTGCTTGAGAGACTCAGGATGCCCAATTCTTGTGAAGCCAGAAGGGAAGACCACGCCAGACAAGGCGAAAAGCCTCAGGCAAAGTCCTCGAGTGACCTGCCAGGAACTGCAGCCCAGGACCAGGCTGCTGGGTGTCCCATGGCAAGCCCTGTTACTCTGGAGCTGATATCCTCTGGGAAGTCCTGAAAACAACCACTAAAGGCACCAGGAGGAGCACTAGGGAGACCTTCCACGCATCCCGACCCATTTCTCAGATGCCTCCCAGGGCTGGCAAACCCCATGGGCTGCAAGTGCTACGAACGGCTGGTGAGCCTTGGATGGCCACGGCCAAGCAGCTCAGCAGGACCCGCGCAGCCAGCGGGGCTGAGCATCCGCTCTCTGAAATGCCACCAGCAGGAGTGAGACAAGGGAAGGAGGGGACCTTGCCAGACTCACTGCAGTCTCCTTGGGCAGCCACCAAAATGTTCGTCTGCTGCGTGCACGCCCGGACGTGGAGCTCGCACTCGCTGCCGTACGTGTTGCCATCTGTGCCGCACACGGGCTGAGAGGAGGGAACGCACTCCGTGGGGCACACGCACCTTCCTGTCTCCGCCTCGCAGATGGCCCCAAACTGGCACTTGCCACAACGGTCTGCGCAGATGAAGAACAAAATGGGCAGGTTAAAACAACAGCTCAGGCAGGCATCGCTGTCTAATGAAGTACCAGAGCAGAAATAAAACCCCACTGCGACCTCCTCCCCCAGGTCCAGCCCCCGCAGATGCCAGCAGCCTTGTCGGGAGCACAAGCCCCAGGGCACAGCGCAAGGGAAGGAGCCGAGGCAAGGGCTGCAAGAGGAGGGAGAGCCAGGTTCGGGGGCAGAAAGGCAATAATTACTCGTAAAAGCCGTCAGGGCCAGGAGCAGCCGGGATGAAATGTCACCAGAGCTGTATGCCGTTACAGCTAAATAGGAGGCGGGAGAGAGCACGGGGCTGAGTGCAATTACAAGGAGCGATAAATCAGTCCCAGCCTCGGGAGGAGGAACGCAGCATCCCAGCCAGCCAGTGGCCAGTCTCCCAGGGGAGAGAGGCGGCAGGATGCACACACGGCACAGCAGCAGGGCAGGAGGAGGTGGTTGGCGGGGAAGGGGAATACCGTCTTCCCTTAGTTTATCAGGGTGCCAGCAGCACCGGACGCACATATACCACAGCACCGATTCAGAGCGCCCCGCCACCTCCCGCAGCGGGATCCTCAGCTAGCCGGCTGCAAACACGCACAGAGCACATCCACGCAGGCTCGGGGCAGAGAAGACGTTTCTGTTCATAATAACTCACTTGCAAAGGCGCTATCGCTCATTGCGGAGAGACCGGACTCAGCCAGCACACCTCCCCTCTCCTCACTCCTGGGTATTTACTGATTCACGGCTTCATTTTCTCCTTCAGACCAACACCCCTCTTCCCTCCCCGCCATTCAATTCACGAAGAATTTGGCTCAAAGATGGTTTTTCTTATTTTTCTTTCACACAGCAGCTGCTGCCTTTGCATGGGGGAGGGAAGATGCAGCCACCCCCCGCGTGGTTCGTGCAGACTGTTGGCCGGGAGGTTTCTATCTCCAGCACAAAGCCTGCAGCCACGCCTGGGCTCTGCAGGTCACGAGAGGGGCTGCTCAAGGCAGTCTGCGTGCAGACAAGGGCAGCTCTTTCCTACGCAGCACTCAAGCGCGTGTGCCCGGCAGCTGAAGTATTTGCATCCTTCACTGTTTCTCCTGTCACTGCGTGGAGTTGGTACCAGCATTTTCTTCTGACCTGAAGCCCACGGGGCCCTCCGCTATGCTGCAGCAGGGAGGTCCACAGGTTGGAGGAGGTCTTCCTTTTCTGGAGGAAGGGTCTTCCTTTTCCCTGCTGTCTCAAAGCCCTTACAGCTCAGGAGCATCTTCCCCAACTAGGACTGCACAGCGCAGCTCAGTGGGGAAATGTCCGTAAAGGGATTAAGCCCAGTTTTGACAGGGGTGCTGCTATGCCACACCAGCCCTGGGTGCAAAGCCAGGCACCAGCTCCTCATACCCAGGCCTGAAGGTTAGGGGCAGAAAGACTGTATTTGGACAAAATCGTAATAAGCCTAGCCCTACCTGACCATCCCGGCAGATTTTGCCCCAGAAGAACCCAGCCAGCTCGGGCTGTACCTATCTGCAAACACTTTCTGACTGGCAAAGCTGTGCTGGCATGGAGAGCTTGCAGACGGAGCTGCCTACGCTACGCGGCAGCCACCAAAGTGCAAAGACACCCCAACAGCCCTATCTCCCTGCCGCTGGGGCCACGCTCATGCTTAATACACCACCTGCTCGCAGCAAGGAAACGCAGCTGTGGCCAGCAGCACGAGGAGGAGGAAGCCCAGAGATGGGCTCTTACCACAGGGCCCCTTGTGCTTCACTTTGATCTCCCTCTTGAGGACACAGGCCATGGAGTTGAGCTCGCAGGGGTTGCCGTAGGTGCGGTTGTCGGTGCCGCAGACGGGGTCGTAGCGGCCCTGGCACACCTGCTGGCACTCGCACACGGCCTCCTGGTTCTTCACCACGCACGTGGCCCCGAAGGTGCACTCCACACTCAGGCACGGGCTGGGTGTGCCCAGGTCTGCAGAGGGGACAGGAGAGAAAGGCACTGGTCTCAGTCCGCTGCTTCCCCAGCCCTCCTGGGGCACTGTGCACAGCAATGCATGCCAGCAGCCCCAGCCTCAGGCCCATGCCTGCCTCCCCCAAGCCGTGGCAAATGCACAGAGCTCCTGGCCTTGGCACCAGCCCAGCCCCTGCACCCTCCATGCCACCCCGACATGCCCGGGCTCAGCATCTTCCCCATGCGTGGCAGAGGTTAGGGATGGGAAGCAGGCACAAGATCTTCTCCCTGCACACCATGAACAAGACTCCTGCCTTTGTCTCCTCCATCCCATCCCCATCCCAGCTACATTCTGCCCCGAGGGGCTGGCCGGAGGCGGGATCAGCCCCGCAGGTTTCTGCGCTGAACCCCAATGTCTGGGTGTCCCCAGCAGCTCCCAGCCAGCATCAAGAACGAGCGTCATGTGCTGAGGGAGGGCAACACAGACTGGGGCCCCTCACTGCCAGGAAAGGAGCCGGCACTTCTTTTCCTGGGCAACAGTGGTGCCACGAGCCTGCCTGTGAAGTCGGACCTGAATGACCAGCTCTGTGGCAGAGGGCAGGGCAGGAGGCAGCAGAAAGCCCTCCTCAGGGTGGTCTCGGTGCCTCCAGGACACTCGCTACGTCGTCACGCAGGACCTGGCACCGGCTACTGAACCCTCAGTAGCCAAAAAGCTCGCACAGGGATACTTCTCTTCCCTGAGGCCTCACATCCTCAGAATCACACTGTCCCCTGAACACCTCATCCTAACACCCCCTGTGGCCATACCCAGGAAGATCTGGCTGGAGAGGACACCTGCATTTGGCTTCACCACACAGCCTGCCTCTCTCCTCTCCCCAGCAGCTCAGCTCCCTTCCCTTCCTCTTGCAAGCTGGGGCTGCGAAGGCCAGGGAGCTGCCGTGCAGCAGGATGAAGAGACCTGGTGCCTTGCTTCAGCCCGGTCCTCAGGCATCTGGCCCTAGGAGCAGAGCCCTGAGGCTCCCTGGGGACGGGCAATGCCCCGCAGCATGGGCTGTGGGCTGAGAGGCAGCCTGTGCTCAGTTACTGTGCTCAGTTACTGTGCTCAGTTACTGGAGCTGCTTAATCAAAGTCAGCCGAGCAGGCAGCACCCTCCCTGCAAGACGCCCGGCAGCGATGAGGTGAGCAGCCAACCCTGATGGTGACAGCAAAGAGAAACGGCTGCGTCCGACTCCCTGGTTCAGCTCTGCAACTGCGCGCAGGGAAAGCCCTGTGGTTCCACCCGCTTCCCAGCCCGCTTGCCCA